TTCAGTGGTACTGACTGTACAAGGCTTCTCATGAGGTCAAGAGCCTGAGGGACCGGGGGCTGAATGGACTGGCAAGGACAGTACTTTTGTTCATAACTCTGTTCTTTTTTAACCTGACTTAAAACACAGTTGCAGGGGGGCCGGGAAGATGACTCAGTGGAATAAGCGCTTCCCTGGCAAGTGCAAGGGCCTGAGTTTAATCCCTGGTTCCACAAAAAAAAAAAAAAAAAAACAAACCAAAAACCACAGTTGCAGGGGCCGGGGAGATGGCTCAGTAGAATAAGTGCTTACCTTGCAAGCGCAAGGGCCTGAGTTCAATCCCTGGTTCTGCCAAAACCAGGGGGGTGCCGGGGAGATGGTTCAGTGGAATAAGCGCTTCCCTGGCAAGCGTAAGGACCTGAGTTCAATCCCCAGTTCTGCAAAAAAAATAAAATAAAATAAAACACAGTTGCATTGGTAATCACTCTGTGTTAATAAACTAAAAATATACTTTGCATGATTTTTTTTTTTTTTTTTTTTTTTTTTTTTTTTTTTTTTTGGAAGGGTCTACAGGGTGTTTAGGCTCTCACTACTAGATCGGACTTGTAGTGATCTGCCTATTTATAGCCTCCCAAGAGCTGGAATTACAGGTGCACCACCACGCCCAGTCCCAATTGCTGTCTCAGCACATCCCAGGGGTGGGGTCAGCACAGCAGGCTTGGGAATTGAACCCCTAGCCCCTGTGCCTGCTTGCAGACACTTCAATCTGCTGAGCTATTTGGCCAGCCCCTTGTTTGTATGATAACTATATCACAAATAGTACAGAAAATAGAACTGTGTCAGAGCAAAGGTTTTGTATACTATTAAAATTAAATTTGTTTAATTTAATCTAAATTGTTTTTAAATTATTAAGTGTATTCCCCAAAAGACACCCACTAACAAACTAAACAATTTTTAAAAGATAAGGAAACTAAAGTGATGCTGAAGAAAATACTTAACGAAGATAATAGTGGTGAGGAAAGAAAGAAAAAGGATCCAAGATGTATGGAAAATAAAGGATAGAGTAGTAACTTATTAGAGACCCTACCACAGGGCCAGTTATTGGAGACCCCTGCATTGGGTTTTAGTTCCCTACCTGGATTATGGCACATGGCAGAAAGGAAAGAGCAAGAGAGAGAGTAAAGAGGTGTATAACTTGGGGACCCACAGTTGCTCTCTAAGAACAAAAGGCCCTGAATCCACCTAGCCATCAATTTATCAGCCAGTGCAGGGAAGAGGGTACATTGCTTTCCCTGCCACAGCATAGAAGTAATGGTTGAATGGGCAATTTTAACATCATAACGGAAACAAGTGGGAACTATTCCTACACTTGTGTGTGTCAGTCTAATTTATTGAGGAAGCAGGATTTCCACATTCCAAAACCTGGCCCTCAAGGCAGGCAGCTTAAAGAGAGCCTAGGACAGACATTACGTCATTTTACAATTTATGCTCCCCAACAGTAACTCATAACAGCTAAATCTTGGAATTGGCCTGTAGCTCCATTAACAGATGAAGGGATACAGGAAGATGTGTATGTGCACAGTGGAGCACTGCTCAGCCCTAAAGAAGGATATCTTTTTTTTGTGTGTGTGGTTTTGTTTTGTTTTGCAGAACCGGGGATTGAACTCAGGCCCTTCTGCTTGCCAGGGAAGCATTTATTCCACTGAGCCATCTCCCCAGCCCAAGAAGGATATCTTTGAGTCATTTGTAGGAAAACGGATACACCTTGAAACCATAATGTTAGGTGAAATAAATCAGACGTCAAGGTTAAATATCGCATGTCCTCTCTTGCATGAGAAGCCCAAAGTATAAATTCAAAGAGCAAAATAAAGGATGGATGATAGGAAATAAAGAAGTAAACTTCCTTGGAGATGGGAACTGGGCTAGGCAAGGGGAAAGGAGGGAAAGAGAAAGTAAAAATGATAAAGATGTACTATGTATATCTACCACTTCCCAGGGATGAATGTAATTATTATGCATCACAAATATGTACTAACTGTTCAAAAGCACAAAGCAGACTCCCGCGGGGCGCCTAGTGGTGGGGGCGGTAACACTGACTCAGGGTGGAGGCACAGACAGCGCAGTACTCAATGCTCAGTGCGCAGCCCAGCCGCAGCTTTCCTAGAGGACAAAGAGGCGAGGCCTGGGCTTCCACCAGTTCCTTTGGCAGTCACCTGCCTGACTGCAACCTGCCTCCAGATCAGCTCTCTGTGATCCCCAACAACCTGTAACCCCAACCGGCACAGCAAATGTGATGCCCAGCCAGTGTGTGTCAGTGTGTGCGTGTGTGTGTGCACGCGTGTGTATGTGTGTGTGAGAGAGAAAGTGTGTGTGTGTGTGTGTGTGTGTGTGTGTGTGTGTGTGTACTCTGAGTGTGTATTTGTGTAATCAGCGGTCCTGCAGGTTCCAGATGCTGGGGATAGTATGAGGCCAGCACAGGATATGGTCAGGATGAAGAAAGAACTGAAATCTTTGCCCTGTGGTTTTGGAAATCTTGCTTAACTTTCAAAGTGGGGTTGTCAACGGTTCCTAGTCCTCCACCTCTAGCAGAAATGTGAATGGTCCTGTAGCTGGGAGCTGGTGCTACAAGGTGGATCGAAGTAGTGAAATTCTCCTACATGTAGACCATCAGTAACTCTAACTTTGCCAAGAGGAAATGGGTGAAGTCATTAAAAGTTCATCTTTTCATCAGGGGACAGTGATAAACTGAAATGGTGCTTGCAAGTAAACTCAGAAGGGCTCAAAGAAGAGAGCTAAGATCACCTATCCCTTTACCTGTTACTGAGCAGCTGTCCAAAGAAAGAAGTTCAGACAAAATTCAAATTCTCTATTCTGAACGCCAAGTCAACAAGCTTATATGTTTGTTCAAGGCAAAGGCCAGGGACTCAAAAAGTTCATCCGTAGAGATTTTGTTCAGGATGAGGCCAGTGGGCTTTTTCCTGATGACACACTTATCCTCTTCTGCGAGGTGAGTGTGGTACAAGATTCTGTTGACATTTCTAGCCGGAATCCAATGAACCTGGTGGCGGTTCTAAGTGCGGTTGGCAGGTGAGCCTGGAGGGCTGTGGGAGAATTCAGACTGCTGCTTGCCTGTTGCTGACCAGGAGTTCCAGGCACACGAAGTGATCTTAGCAGCTCATTCTCTGGTTTTTAGTGCCATGTTTGAACATGAAATGGAAGAGAGCAAACAGAGTCAAGCTGAAATCAGTGATTTACAGCCTGAAGTTTTTAGGGAAATGATGTGGTTCGTTTACAAGGGAAAGGAGCCAAACCTGGACAAAACGGGGACGGTGTGCTGAGGCTGCTGATGTGCACGCTCAGGGGAGCGTGTGAAGGTCCCAGTGAGGACACCCTCTGTACCCTCTACAGCACCTCTCGTGGTGAATGCCCAGAGAGTCTTTATCCTGGCTAACCTCCACAGCAAGGACCAGCTCAAAACTGCTGCTGTGGATTTCATCAATCATCACTCCTTGGATGACCTGGAGACCTGGGGTGGAAGTCCATGGTGGTGTCACCTCAACATGGTGGCCAAAGCCTACTGCTCTCTGGCTTCAGTACAGTGCCCTTTCCTGGTGTAGTGGTTGATACACTGTGTCAACTTGAGAAGTTAAAAGCCTAAGTTGGCTCAGCAATTCCACACCCTTGGGGGTGAAGGCCCCTGTCAGGCATGGAGGCTCTACCCTAGAGTGACTCATCACTTAAAAGGATATAAAAGGGAACTGAGGAAGGATGGAGTGGTCCACTTCCTCCGAAGACCTCCAGTCTTTGTAGTCAGCTTGGGCGTTGTCTCCTGGCTTCTAGCACAGACTCTTCAGCCTCGCCTTGGATCCTTTAGCATTCTGGTGTAGACTCATCAGCCTTCCATCACAGACCCATCAGCCATCTGTCACAGACCCATTGCCCTCCTGATAGAGGAACACTGTAAAGGGACTGCAAAGAACACTGTAATGAGCTCCAGAGTTTGGACTGAATCCTTCAGTCCCCAGTATGCAGATGCTGTTCCTTTAGTAAAATCCTGACTGATACACCTGAGATCCCCACAAAAGTGCCTGAAGCAGTCCTAAGACCCCACCTGTCTTAAGGCTCCATTTATTTTCCAAAAGCAGCAGCCACTCTTTCTGCCACTGTATAGCAGGTAAACAGCACAATCTATGGAGCTTTCACTCCACTGTAGGGAAAGACTGCATTGTGCTCCACCCTGTAAAGAACACTAAATAACTGGGGGGTGGGGGCAGGACTTGGGTTGCGGCACCTCTGTGCACCCTTCAGCCTGGCCCCCTCTGACACCAGTCACAATTTCAGGGTGGCCTAGAACACATCCCAGCTGTGGTACTGTGAGGAACTGCCTTCTCTGATGGGGCAGACCCATCAGCATGTGTCTGGTGCTAATGGAGGGGAAAAGAAAAGATGCTTAATTTAAGAGAAGGGCAAAGGAAAGAGAAAAGGATTTTTGCAGAATCACTTTGTGAATTCCAAAGTATTTATGTTGAGAGAAGCAAACTGGAGTCCTAACAACTGCACTAGTACTTGGATGTTTGTGAAGATGCCTTGCCAGAGCACTCTCACTGTTAGTGCCTACCCCTCACAAGGACAGAATACGCCCTTTTATCGTCCGATGAAAAGTGACAAGTGACAGCAAAGAGGAAGGAGCCAATTCAGTCTGGAAGATGAGTGTTCTGATAGTCGTGGCTTTTGCAGAAATCTTTTTGTTTTTTTCAGAAATCTTTATTGGTATTGAAAACTGGAAAAAATAATTCACCCAGAATGTATACTGTCTTGACAAGAACTATGGTTCTCTGTTAAACATTTTTCTCTGATTTTATTTCTCTTCCCTTCCCTCCTTCCTTTTTCTAAAGTGAAAAACACAAAGCAAAAGCAAAAAAGAGAGAAAGGAAAAATGGAAATTTTAATAAATTTTGTATGAAAAAAGGCAGTCTCCATGACTGTGATGTGCACTCCACCAGTCACCACCCCAGCACTAGATGCCTGTGAACACCACAGAAGCTGCTCTTCTTGTTTCAATTCAAGTATTGCTAATACTGCTTGCTATTGGATAGAATGTAAAGAAGCAAATAATAGCCACTGTTCTGACTATTCAGCAGTTAGCAATTGTAGCACGGTGAACAACACTGCCTTGTGTTCTGTGCCTGCTAAATTGCTCCAGCGCCAATGAGTGCAGTACCTAAAATTACAACTCCACTTTGCCCTTCTTCCACCACAGTTACCACAACAAGTGTGGCAAATACCACTTTGACTCCAACCTTAGGTCCTGTGCAGAAGTCTACCTTTGATGCAGCCAGTTTCACTGGGGGAACTGTCCTTATTTTGGATGTGTAGGCTGTAATTTTCTTTCTCTATAAATTGTGCAAATCTAAAGAACAAAATTACCATACTCTGTAAATGAACATATTAAATTAACGAGGACTGGTCATTTATTTGTGTAATTCAGTGAAACCAAAATGCTATCTTTCAAGAAGTCCCACATGGAAGATGCTATTCTAAGATATTTAAATTCATGAAGGATAAATAGGATTTTGGAGCATCATCCCTAGATAAAAATCAGTTAAACCAGTTTGCTCAAAATAACTTTTTTTTTAAATTTTATTTATTTATTTGTGTGTGTGTGTGGCCAGCTCAGCCCACCAGGGGGCGGGCTGGCTGGCATGTGGTGCTGGGGGATTGAACCGCGGTCCCTGGGCTTTGCTAAGCTTGTTCTAAGTAGGTGCTTTAGACCACTGAGCCATCTCAACAGCCCCTCAAAATAATTTTTTATAAAATATTCTGCTTGAATCCTTAAGGATGTCTTATGTTATTTAAAATGTCTACTGCTGCGAGATTATGTTTCTTTTCTTGACATGCCAAATCAAATATAACTTTGTGTAAGTGATAGAAAATGTTATGTTGTGCAGACAACCTCTGACTCTTGGCAGATTAAGTTTAGTCATCATAAAGCCTGAAAGTAGCATTATTTTCATCTTAACGCAAGATATTACTTAGTAGCCGGAATTGAGAAACATGCCAAATTAGCATCAGTCAGGTAGATTTTTGACTAGCATTTCTGAAGTGGAATTAACCTATTTAGTAGTACAAAACCATATTCCTGGAATAAAATTTTATGCTCAGTGTTACTTTTTTCTACATTAGAAATAAGTTGCCACATAGGGAATTACATTCCAGACTTAAAGAAATGAATGAAAAGGATACAAACCATTAATGTATAACAGGTTATTGTTCATACTTTTAAGCACTTTATATCATTGAGAATGTAAAGAACGATGCCTTAGGGACAGTGAGATAGCTCAGCAGACTAAGAACCTGCTTAGACAAGCACAGGGACTCGGGTTAGATCCCTGGTACCACATGCCATGCCGGCCCCATCCCTGGGCACACTGAGTCCGAGTCTGGGCATGGTGGCTTATGCCTGTAACCCCAGCACTGGGGAGGCTTAAAACAGGAAGATAACTGTGAGTTCAAGCAGTATAGTAAGACCCTGTACCAAATACATTTCAAAACAAAACAAACAACAACAACAAAAAAAAATTGCCTTAAAAGACAGACTAAAAGATAGGCTGTACTTGAAAATATTTATGATTTGTTCTTTTATGTTAAGGATGGTAAATGTTCTGAGGAAATGCTGTTGAAATGATGGGTAGTAAACCTGCCTCTAGATATACTGTTAATATTTAATTAAAAACATCTCTTTTCATAGCTGAGAAAGTTAAGCTACAGAGTTGAAAGCCTTCATATTTTGAACCTCCCAACATTGTACTTGAGGCTGTTGAAGAGAGTTAAAACTAATTATGTATCTTTATCTTTGTACTCAAAAAAAGGTATCCTAACGCTATAGTACCTTAAAAAGATTTCACCCAAGCTTTCCTAGAAAATAATTTTTTGAGGCTGTAAGGATATAAGTTTTAGGATCATTTATTCTTTTTTTTTTTTTTTGCGGAACCGGGGATTGAACTCAGACCCTTGCGCTTGCCAGGCAAGCATTTATTCTACTGAGCCATCTCCCCGGCCCTTATTCTTTTTTTTTTTAAAGACATTTATTCAGCATCATGATCAGACTATTACATTTAGCAATCAACAGCATGGGTGCCAAAAAAGGTCTTCATTAAAACCCTTTGTTGGAATGCTGTATACTTTCCACAGAAAATAAAATAACCTGTTATACAATTAGTCACATATACACTCCTCGAGTTTTTCATCCATGTGCATGAATATAGTCTAAAACATGTCATCTTCATAACTCCTAGGCCCTGCTACCACTGTGCTTGGCTGAGTTCACAAATCTGTTGTAACCTGTAGCTTCCCTGTCACTTCTCTCGTTCTCCTGTCCTGCTAAGCTTTGTTTCCTGAAAGTATTTAAAACTTTCTGCCACTGCCATAGTTAGTGCTGCTGCTGGAGCCACCATAGTCACCTTGATTTCATGGTTTGGTAATATACTGGCCTCCACCACCACAGGGCCCAGAGCTTCTGCTTCCAAAGTTTCCTCTCTTTGTGGGTCCAAAATTTGAAGACTGACTGTTGTAATTGCCAGATTCATTATAGCTTCCACCACCTCCATAATTGCTTCCATCATTACCAAATCCATTGTAGCCATCTCTGCTGCCACCATATCCTCCCCCACCATGACTGCCACCAAAGCCACCTCGACCACTGAAACTGTTGCTGTTTTTTTTTTCCTCGGAATGCCTTCAGGGCAGGTTTGGCTGGCTGGAGTTGTGGGGATGGAACTACAGCCACCAGAGGCTGACAGCTTTGTGGAAGCAGCCACTTAACTGAGCTAGGGCCAGGCCCCCTGAAACTGTTTTTAAGGTACTATAGCGTTAGACCCTCCGTGACTAAAACTGTCATTGCCACCAAAACCACCTCCATGACCACTACCAAAGTTTCCAGAACCACTTTGACCTCTTTGGCTAGGTGAAGCACTAGCCATCTCCTGCTTTGACAGGGCTTTCCTCACTTCACAGTTGTGGCCATTCACAGTGTGGCATTTTTGAATGATTGTCCACAGAATCATAGTCATCAAAGGCTATAAAAGCAAAGCCCCTCTTATTTCCACTGCCTTGGTTGGTCATAATTTCAATCACTTCGATTTTTCCATATTGTTCAAAACAATCTTGTAGGTGATATTCTTCAGTATCTTCTTTAATGCCACCAACAAAGATCTTCTTCACCATTAAGTGGGCACCTGGTCTTTGAGAATCTTCTCTTGAGACAGCTCTCTTTGGTTCCACAATTCCGTCCACTTTGTGTGGCCTTGTATTCATGGCTGCCTCTGCCTCCTCCACAGTGGCATAAGTGACAAACCCAAAGCCCTTGGAATGCTTGGTGTTCAGGTCTCTCATTACCACGCAGTCTGTGAGTGTTCTCCATCACTTAAAATGGCTCCTCAGACTCTCATTAGTTGTTTCAAAGCTCAGCCCTCTGATGAAGAGCTTCCTTAACTGTTCAGGCTCCTTGGGAGACTCTGACTTAGACATGAGAGCAGTCGGAAGAGAGCCTGACGATGCTTCCTCCATGGTGTCCACCAGCAGAAAGGAATAAGCTACTAAGCATACTCTCACTTATTCTTTAAATGAGACAGTCATTTTAAGTTTTGTGACTAGTGTAATTTCACAAAACTTAAGGGTTTTAAATCAGGTGTGGTGATGCATGTCTGAAATTCCAGTACTTGAGATGCTGAGGCAGAAGGATCTCTGTGAGTTCAGGGCCAGCCTAAAGTATAAAATGAAACCCTTTCTCCAAAAACCAAAAGCAAAAAAGCCCCAGAGTTTTTAATCTGATTACTATAGATTTTTAATGATTATCCTGAATAGATTGCTTGTCCTTTTTAACTTTCTCCTTCCTTCCTTTTCTTTTTGATTTCAATTCCCATAGAATAACAGGTATGGGTATTTTTATTTCTGTCATTTTTCATAAAGCCTAGTTTCAATCAAGAGTACTTTATTTTACAAAATATGTCTATGTATATACAAAAAAACTATAAAAGAGTACCAAAAAGATTTCTTTGGGGTCCCTATCCAGTCCGGAATTGTAATAACAGGCTCCCCTTTTACTAACTTTACTCCTGTAATGCTTCCAGTTTTTAAACTATGTGTACATATTACTTTAGAAAAAAAAAAAGTTCCTGGATATCTGAAAAAAACAACCATTTCTGAGGAACTTAATAACAGTACAAAATCAAAGATTTATAATACTAAGTCACAGTGTAGTTATATAAGACTTCCGCTGTAAAATTCCTGCGGTGTAACAAGAGCATCTTTATTTGTGATCTTTCCCCTTCGTCTTTCTGTAAACCATCTCCCAGAAGCTGGCTAGAAGCTTGGTCTCTCTGTTTTGTGTCTCTCCTTGGTTGAAGAACAAAAGGGCTCTCTTCTCATCAGAGTGGTCCATCTCACTACCCTTATGCAGTGGTACAGCCCCCAAATCTACGATGGCCGCTACCACTCATACACAGACTAAGCATTCAACTAAGGTGAATGCATGCATCACTTTTTGGCTCAGTTTCACCTCTACGGATATCACTTCCCAGGGTTTCCATACTCTGCCATTAAGGCATCTTCACCTGGTAGCAGAGCATGGCCATAATTTAGAGGCTTCTCTCATCTTGACAGATGTGTATTACCAAAGCTTCTGTACTTACTAAAGCCATAGAGCCTACAGTCTTGCACTGCTCAATCTAGATAACTTCTGGCAACTTCTCTTCTGAAAATTTACAGTTTGTGTCACTGAGAATTTTATTCCTTTATTCTTAGGTTTTGTTTTTGTTTTGTTTCTTTCTCTTCTTTTTCTTTTCAGCTTTTTTCTTTTATTTATTTTTTATTATGCATTTGGTACAGGGTCTCTCTACACAGCTCAGACTCAGTGATCCTCATGTTTTCAGCCTCCCCACCGCTGGGATTACAGGTGTGTACCACTATGCCCAGACTCAGTGCTGGCATGCCCAGGGCAGGCTCAGGGCCTACACAGAATGTGGGGCTGAGATTTGAACTTGCTCCCTGTACTTACCTAAGCAGGCACTTAGTCTGCTGAGCTATCTTGCCAGTCCTTCTTTTGAGCTTTTCTGACTCAATTTTTGTCATCATCAGAGCTAGAATTAGTGTAAGAGTCTGAAAACTTGTGATAGAACACTTTCTATGCTTTCTTTAGAGGATTATTCTTTTTTTAACATCTGGTCTTCTTCCTCTTTTCTTTAGAAATGTATTTTGAGCTAATACTCTTCTAGCTCTTTACTTCATCTTCAAAGGTCTGTTCATAGGAATCCAGTCCAGAGACTTTGGGGATAGCTCCCATACCTTGGGCACTCTAGTTCCCCAGTCTTCTCTTCTCCTTCAGCTTCTGCTGCCAACAGCTCTCCCTCTTTTCCTTCTTGTAGTCTTCTGACACTTAGGAAGAGTTGCACAGCCCCTGGGCCCACCCTCAGGACCCCAGCACCTCCCTGGGGTGAGTAGCAGATGCCTGCCCATCCACATGGAGAAACAGGGACACTGGGGCCCTGAATAGTGCTTCAGTGCCCCACATGGGGCAGTTACCACAGACACCCAGCCTTACCAGGCCTGGTGCCCACACAGGCACACTGTCAAAAGCGGCTGTCATGTCTTAAAGACACTGAAATGGCTGTAGATGATTCTATGTGACATCAAGCTGAGTGACCCCTACCAACATCCATAATATTGAGCCAGCTTGGAAGCAGATCCTATAGCTCTAATAAACCTTCAGATAATTGCAAGTCTAGCCAACATCTTATCTTCAGCTCTATGGGAGACCCTGGGCCAGAATCAGCTACCTAAACCCCTCCTGCAATTTAAACCTTAAGAAATGATGTGAAATAATAAATTATTTATTTTTTTAAACAACTGGAGTGGGGATTGTTAGGCAACAATAGCTAATGAGTAGAGAGTTTTGTACCAAGAATTGAATACAACAACAACATGGAGTGTCTTTGACTATGAGCAGTGGATAGAAGCTTCAGGGCACTAAAGGAGCTGTCAGTAAAGTTCTTTGAGAAGGATAAAGGTGGCCCTTGAGGAGGATGCAGGCAAGAACTCCAAAGAAGAGAGATACACCAGCCTAACCAGAGGCCTCTTTCTCTTCCCCACACAGAGCTGAGGTTGCCCACATCAGACACATGCAGAGGAAGTGGTGTCATTTATCTTGTTCTTTATAGATCAGGAGAAAAGAGTACAAAGGTCAGGGGCAGGGTTCAGGAGAACTGAGAAGAGCTTGGTGCTATAGTCAGGCTTGTGAAGATGAACCAACAAAAATTCCCAAATCCCTAAGGCCAAGGAAATGTCATTTTCACTGCCTATAACCTTAGCAAACATTAAATACTACAGGTCCTTAAACATGCACTGAGCACCTAGGATATGTAAACACTTCTCCTGATGGGTCAAAGGCAAAGATGATATCTTCTTTTCTAAAAAGAGTCAGTCAACCCAGAGTGAGCCACCTGGTAATAATACTGGAAGTTATTCTGCAGTTGGAGCTTTTAGAAAATACATGGGAGGAAGCCCATTTTATCTAGGAAAGGTTGGGAAAATATGAGAGAAAAAGGCATCAGACTGGGCCTATTCTTTCCTTGTGTGGAAAAAATAATGTAGGCAGAGAGATGATCCGTAGCTATACTATGATGTACTCTGGTGTGGGACCAGCAAGGAGATCTAGAGATTGGGCTACTGACCCCTGAGCACAAGATCAGCCCAGTGGGGAAGAGGAAAGGCAAGATGGGGGAAGCGACACAGTGGTGTTGACTCTCAGCGTAGGCTCACCAAATTGCAACATTAGCTAAGTAACTTTAACAAAGACTCAGCTTTGGAAAAAGAT